CCTGTCTACTTGGTGTTCTATGTGCTTCTTGTATTTGTATGGGCATGTCTCTCTTTAATTTTGGGAAATTTTCTTCTACCACTCTGTTGAAGATCTGGCCCATACCATAATCCTGAGATTCTTCTCCTTTCTTTCTGCCTATGATGCATAAGTTTGGTCTTTTTATGTTGTCACACAGTTCCTGCATATTCCATTTCTGTGTTTTCTTAAATTTTTCATAATCTTTTATTGAGTGGTCTAATTTGTCAACTTTATCTTACAGGTTTGATATTCTGTTTTTCATTTTATTCATCCTTTTGGTGAGGCTTTCTCCTGTCATTTGTAATTGGCTTATTGAGCATTTCACTTCCTTTTTCATTTCAGCCTGAGTGTTCATCAATGTTTCTAATTCTTTTCTGAATTCATTCAGATGTTTATCCATATCTTCTTTCAGTTCTTTGATTTCTTTGTGTGTTCTTTAATTTCATTGACTTCTTTTATCATGTTTATAACTTCCATGTCCTGTGTTATCTCTAGGGGGTTCTCATTGTACTCCTCTACAGAACTGTTGGTACTTGGTGGGGATATACTATTTGGGTTTTTCATGTTACTTTATTTTCTCTGTGGTTTTGACATGTGGATTTCTTTTGTTGTTTCTGATTCTTGTGTGAGACTCAAGCCCTCCTTTGTTGAGTTTAGGTCTGCTTCTGTTTGTAAACTATGTGCCTTTGTAGTTTACTTTTTGGGCATGAAAATCTGGTTGGTCTAGGCTTCTGGTTCTCTCTTTTGATTTTATATTGGAGGGACCAGATGGCTCTAGTCCTACTGTTCAGGAGTTCCAACAGAGGCCCAAGTCAGATGACGATCAGATGCTCTGAGGCTTCCTCCTAAAGTCTGGATGCCTCTGGTCAGCAGGCACAGTACAATTTGGGAGTTTTGCTAAGTAGAGGTAGGATTTTGGACTCTTGGGCAGTCAGAAAAGGATGCTGCCTTAGGAATTACAGGTAGGTTGTGGGGTAGGACAGCCAGGGATGAAGGCTGGTCTCAGGTGTTCAAAGGAAAGGTGGGGGAGGGGACAGGCTTTGAGGGCTCCAGGGGACTAGTCTGAGGAATTGGATTGGGCTGGGTCCAAAGGAACAGGAAGCAGTGGAGAATCTGGGCCAAGAGAGTAGTCCAGAGGTCTGGGTTGCCAAGAGAAGAAATGGACCAGTGCCCATGCTAGGAGGGGAGATGGGATATGAGAGCTGGGAAGGTGGATGAGGTTGTGGGAGCCAAGGCACAGTGGGCAGGGTCAAACTTACCTGGGAATGACTGTGGCCTCAGGAATCCCAGGCAGATTTGGGGGTGGGACAGCCAGGGATGAAGGCTGCTCCTAGGTGTGAAATGGAGAGGTGGGGGTGGAGACAGGCTTTGAGGGCTCCCAGGGACTACACTGTGGAATTGGGTTGGTTTGGGTGCAAAATATCAGGAAGCGGTGAGAAGTCTGGGCCAAGAAGGTAGCCCAGAGGCCTGGGTGCCAAGAGAAGAAGTGAGCCAGTGCCCACACTAGGATGTGAGATGGGATGTGGGAGGTTGAATGAGGTTGTAGGAGTTGGGTCTATAAACATTTTATATGTACAAGGACAAGTGAAATAAAAAGCCATAGGAGGTCAAATAATAATATATTTTGTATTATTCTAAATTTTTATATATCTAGTAAGCTTGTTTAAATGGAATTTGGCTAAGACATTTCAGAGTTTAGAAGGAAAAACTATACTGCAGTGTATACAGATTTTCAAAGGAGATACACTTTAATCCCAATTCAGGAGTATAAAATTGTCAAAAGAAGGTATTTTTGCTCTCTATCACTGAGACAGAATGCAGGAGAAAAAATTATTTTTTAAATTTTATTTATTATTTTTATTTTATGTGTATGCATGTATTGCCTGCATGTAGGTAAGTGCACCCGTGTCGTGCAATGCCTGCAAAGGACAGAAGAGGCTGTCGGACCCCTGGAACTGGAGTTACAGACTGTTGTCAGCTGCCATGTGGGTGCTAGAATTCAAACCCTGGTCTTCTGCAAGAACAGTCAGTGTTCTTAACTGCTGAGCCATCTCTCCAGCCCCTGCAGAAGAACAAATTATAATGAGGGAAGGCTTATTTGGGTTCAAGGTTTTAAATTGGGGAGAGGACATACATCTTCCTTTGAAAGTGGCTGGAAAATGTCATTTTCCCTAGGTCTCCTGACAATTTTATGATGAAAATATGACAGAAGAATACAAGAGAAATTTAATATCTTTCTAAGACATACACCCACCCCTCACACACACCTACACACACACACACGCACACACACACACACACACACACACACACATATATGTCTTGCCCATCTATCATCCTATCATGGTTGGTTAGCTTCATTGATTACTTTCGGGCCTGTCAAGTCAGAGCATCATGGTGTATTCATGGCAGAAGAAAGCTGCCCACTCATAGCAGCCAGAAGATAAATAAAGAAGTAGCCTGTCCCAGTTACTTTCTATTGCTGTGATAAAAACAGACCAAAACCAATTTAAAGAGGAAAGGGCTTATTTCAGCTTACTACTTCCAGGTCATAACCCATCAATGAGTAAAGTCAGGGCAGGAATTCAAAGCAGGACAGGAACCTGGAAGCGGAAGCTGAAGTAGAGACCATAGAGGGTGCTACTTACTTACCTGCTCCTCTGGCCTGTGCTCAGCCTACTTTCTTATACAACCAAGGACCACCTGCCCAGGGGTGGCATCACCTACAGTGGGTTGGGCCCTCCCACATCACTCATCAATCAAAAAAATGCCCCACAGATGTAGGCATAGGCCAGTCCAACAGAGGAAATTCCTCAACTGAGGGTCCCCCCTGCAACCAGGTGTGCCAGGGTGACAACAGAGCTGTTCAGCACAGATCCCAAATATCTTCCTCCTGAGAATGCCTCTAATGTTCTAACTTCTTTCCACTAGATCCCACCTCTTAAAAGTTCCATCAGCTGTTAATTACACCACAGTCTGGGGACCAAGCCTTTGACACATGGGTCTTTGGAGCATATTCCAGATTCAAACTGCTGCAGAGTGGTTTTTGAGAAAGGTTTTTGAGAAGTCTTGGGATAGGATCAAAACCAATAACACAGTATTAAAGGAAGTCATTGAGATGTAAATGTAACAAGCAGTTCAGAAGAACACTATGTTTGAATATTTGAGTCGTGTATGAGAAGTCTAAGGAAGCAGACCATGACAGGAAAGCAGAGGGTGTCACATATAAAACACCTAAATTCCTAGCATTTGTTGTAACAAAGGATGCTGGATTTTCTTGGATTCAGAATTGATCTCTGTAAGAGCCAGCTGGCCTTAGTTGTCTAAGATCTCTAGCCAGTCCACCGGGGGCAGGGGGCGGGGGGAATAAGGAATCTCAGGACCTGAGAAAATAAAGCCAAGAGTGATATGTTATCATTGTTCATAATTATTAATCTTGGAATCAAAGTTAGTAATGGTTTGAAAGGTAGTTTTTTTTACTGTGTCCTCTGAAATATGTTGCCAGCAACTTTTCTAAAGATCCCTTCCTATTCAATCAAGGAAGTTATATCTAAATTCCCACATGAGCAATCCTATTTCATTTCCTTATGGGTTTCTGTGTCAAATCTGTGTTGTTTAATCTAATAGCCTTGGGAAGAGGAGCTACATCTTCCTGTGAAAGTGGCTGGAAAATGTCATTTACCCTAGATTTCCTAACAATTTTATGATGAAAAGGTACCAGCAGAATGCAAGAGAAATTTAATGTCCTTCTAAGACAGATAGATGATAGCTAGATGATAGATTGATGATAGATGATAGATAGATAGATAGATAATAGATACAATGGAAGATAGATGATAGATAAAAAGGAAGATAGA